TGATGCTGCAGTTAAAAACAAATTGCAAGTTACTCTGGATCCCCTTCTAGCTGCCAGGATCAGGGAGACCCAAATGTGCGTTTTTTATCCTACTAATTAAGACTGTATTGGGTAGGAAACACTAGACACTACAGTTTCCCTGGGTAGTAAATACTAGCCACTCCTGTTCTTCTCCTGAACAGTATGTTTATAATTTAAGCAGAAATTTGTCTGTCTTTGGGCAGTGCTGCTGGGGATGCAGCCTCCTCAGCAGGCAGCCTGTCTTCCAGAAATCTGAGTCTCCCACGTGACATGTATATCTTTAAAAATAGGCAAAGTAAAGAGGTCCCACAGCCCACACTCCTCACAGGCTACATTTCCCACATTCCTAGGGTCATAGAATGGTCGTCTTATATTTCACAGAATCACGGAATGGTTTGGGTTGGAAGAGACCTTAAAGACCATCCAGTTCCAACCCCCCTGCCATGGGCAGGGACACCTTCCACTAGACCAGGTTGCTCAAAGCCTCATCCAGCCTGGCCTTGAACACTTCCAGGGATGGGGCATCCACAGCTTCTCTGGGCAACCTGTTCCAGTGCCTCACCACCCTCTCCGTGAACAATTTTTTCTTGATATCCAATCTAAATCTGCCCATTTTCAATTAAGACCCACTCCCCATTGTTCTGTCACTACAGACCATTGTAAAAAGTTTCCCCCAGCTTAGTTGTAGGCAACCCGTTAATAAAGCTATTTCTCCCTGTCATATCAGTGTTCCTTTTGTGTTACCATCCTGCTTGTAATATGTCAGCCCTTAGGGTGAGTTGTTGTGCTTGCATGCTCAAAGATGTATGCATAGATTTGTTACTAGATGACAGTAGTATGTGCCCAAAAGCGTACACTTTAAAACTTTACTCATGTCTGTTTCTTTATTAGCTTTCTAAAAATCTTAGTACTTTCTTGCTTTACACTGGTAATTTTGGGATTTCACTTGCTTTCTGATTGTGGTGAAGATTCTGGAACTTTTGACTGTAGATCAATTTGGTTTTTAATTTTCATGTTTTAGTTACATTGGTAGACACGCAGGTCACTGGTTTATTTTTCCTAGCAGTCTGCTAATCCAGTTTGCTGATCGGAAACACTCAGTGAGAAGTGATTCTGAGCTTCAGTTTAAGAAAGTCTTTATATGTTTATTTTAGATGTATAGTTGATATATGTGTACTGTTTTGTGATTATAGAAATTATGTATCAACCAGAGGGTGGTGAGGCACTGGAACAGGTTGCCCAGAGAAGCTGTGGATACCCCATCCCTGGAAGTGTTCAAGGCCAGTCTGAATGAGGCTTTGAGCAACCTGGTCTAGTGGAAGGTGTCCCTGCCCATGGCAGGGGGGTTGGAACTAGATGATCTCTAAGGTCCCTTCCAACCCAAACCCTTCTGTGATTCTGTGAAATATAATAAGACCTAACATAGTGAATTTAGTGAGAGGAGACTTTCACCGTTGTTTGGTGGCTGCTACGTGGAAAGTCACTGACTTGACGATTACTTCCTAATTTGCTCAAACATTTTTATGCATGCTGAAGCATAAGAATTCTTTATACTTGCTGTTTCTGTGTGGTAAGCAGAAATGTTATTTGCAGAATGTGTTGTTGCAAAATTAGAGGAATTAGCACAGTATGGAATTTTTACACAGGTCTAGTAAAAGAGAGTGTAGTTATAATATGATTTCTAATATAACTTTGGAAAGATAACGTTTCCTACTGTTTAAAATTAAACCACATTTTCTTTATTTTTAAAATTTGTATGTTTTACTAAAAGGAACCATATACTCAGTCTTCCTTTAATTTAAAGTTCCAGTTTTAGCTTTATCAGCATACCTTCTGTTGGGAAGAAAACTGTTACTGTTTAGAAGATTCTTGCAAATAAAGGGAACCAATTACGTAAATAAACCAGTAACACTTTCTGTAAAAAATAGTGTTAAATATATGGAAAGTGCCAGATGACTATGAAAACCCCCTATGTTTCTGTCTAACAGTGTTTAGCATTTTACAGAATTGTTTTTTGTAATTATTAAGATTGCAACCTTAATTTGGTTAGTAAATAATGAGAGTTACATAATGTTTCCATTTTACATTTCTTACTTTTACTTTCCTTATTCTTTGTTTTGTAGCAGAGTACCAACATAGATGTAGTTCGTTTTCCATGTGTGGTTTACATAAATGAAGTCCGTGTCATTCCCCCCGGAGTGAGAGCTCACACAAGTTTGCCTGACAATAGGGCTTATGGGTAAGTGAAAGATACTCAGTGTCTGATTCAGGAACACCTTCCTGTTGTTTGTTATTGAACTTGTATATCTCAATAGAACCTTCTGTATAAAAAGGTAAAATGCATTTATGTGTCTGCTGAACTTGTAATTATTTTGGGGAATTATTTAAAGAGTATAATTTAAAGGGTTTTTTTCCTTGTTAGTCCTACTCTGAGAAGGAGCTCGATGGATTTAATTTTACTTTTGTTCTGTTTCCAGAGAGACATCCCCACATACATTTCAACTGGACTTGTTTTTCAACAATGTCAGCAAGCCAAGTGCCCCTGTTTTTGACAGGCTGGGGAGGTAAGTACTTTCAAGATTAGCGCGTGACTTCATTATCTGCCTTTTCTTCTTGATAATTCTGTAGTGCAGAAAATGCACAGTGGAAAATATTTATCTCCCACGATTTTTATGTGTGGTCTGGTTTTTGCTAGTTTATGTTCTTGCCCTTTTCCTCCAATCTGTGTGGGAGGACAGAGCTTCATGCCTTAAATAAGAAAAGATTGTGTTACTTGTAAACTTACAGAGGCCCTATGTATCAGTGAAAACTGTTTTGTAGGTATAAGTGATTTTGCACTCTTGTTTTTAAAAGCACATATTTATTCAGTGTTTTATTATTGGCTCATCTGCTTAGTACTGCTGTGGTTTATTTCTGTAAACATGCTCCATGCTAATGGAAAAGTAACTTTGTACATTTTATTTAACAGCCTTGAATACGATGAAAACACTTCGATTATTTTCAGACCCAATGCAAAGGTAATGCAATGTAATTTAAACCTCCTCTTCTATATGTCTGCCATTCAGGTATAAATATGGTGGCGTAGGGTTTGTTAGCACTGTGTAAAGCATGTGTTGTTTAAGAGCTTGTTCTAAAACCTGCCTGGAGTTCAGATGCTCATTAGAGTCTGCAGCTATAATGGCGTGAGTTGTAGAAGTTTTGATTGCTTCACAATTCCTGTGGAGACTATCGACAGAACGATCTGCTACTTCAGAGAGAAGTTGTATCAGAACACTATGGCTGCAGGCTGTAGCTAAGCACATCATTTTGAGTTCTGTTTGGGTTTATTTCATTCAGATCAGTGTTTATGTGACCCACAGTAATATTTTTTTCGTGAATGGTCTGTAGAAGTGAAATAAAATAACTTTAGTTGTCTTGTGCTGGGTTTAAGTGCTTTTTCTTTTTAAAACAACCCAACAGGTCAACACGGATGGATTGGTTCTAAGAGGGTGGTACAACTGTCTGACTTTGGCAATATATGGCTCAGTTGACAGGGTAATAAGTCATGAGAGAGAGTCACCTCCGCCACCCCCACCTCCGCCACCACCTCCCCAGCAACAGCCTGGTTTGAAAAGAAACCTGAAACATGGTAAGCCTTGTGAGAAGATAGAGGTTTATTTGTAAAAAATCAACATTACAATATCCCATCTGAAAAATACCCAATTCTTTCTCATTTTGATTTCAGTGCCTTTATTTTCCTAGCTTTTTGTCTTTGTCCTTCAGGTTTGTATTTTCTGTTTATATTTATATTGAATGATTTTAAGTAGATTCTTGCCTAGTTAGTGCTTAAATTTTGAGAGTGGGTTACTTGATCTGTTGCTAATTACTTAGGATGGTCAAAATGGAATTTAATTTGTGTGAAGTCATTGAATTTTAGATGATTGAAATCTCAAAAAAGAAGTGATTAGAATACTATTAACTTGGATATTACTGGTAGAGTATTGCTGTGTTAGAGCCGAAAATGGCAGTTATCCACCTTAATTTTTAACCCAGTATTCTATTATAAACGTCTCAATAGTGTTAATAAGCTTGCTTATCGATGTAGTTCTTGTTTACAAGTGACTTCAGAAGACTGCCTCACATACTGCAGATACAGAATACAGGTTAAATAACAGCGAGGAAATGAAGGTGTTCCCTAGTCAAAGGTAGCGCTGAAAAACTGAAATTTCATGTTTCTATTCCTATGATTCCATTAAATGCAAGTTTTTATTTTCACAATAAATGTAGCTGATGGAGAGAAAGAAGACCAGTTCAATGGCAGCCCTCCAAGACCACAACCTAGAGGACCAAGGACACCTCCAGGCCCTCCTCCTCCTGATGATGATGAGGATGAACCTATGCCAGTGTCAGGTAGAATGAGAACAGACTCTGTTTTATCTGATGCACAACACTGCTTAGTGGAGGCAAAATTCTGGTTTCCTGCACTGTGTGAAGTTTCCTGGCTGCTGTTACTCTTGCTGGACAGATTCAGTTTTAGGAAAGGGATTTGAAAGATAATCTGTTGGCTCTGGTAAATTGTATCAATTTGAAAGTTAGTTGATTTGAGAATGTCAGCTATTGACCAATACACTGCTTGAACATGCTGTTCGTATTTTACATACATGTCCTGTTGATTCTGGTATTCATTGTCCTTCTGCATCCCTCTGCAGCATCTGCTGAGTTCTCTGGTCTCCATATGGGTTAAAAGTGCCAAGAACTCTTTACACTTTATAGTCTTACTGAACTAAGTGATTGTTGCTTGTGTTCAGGCAAATCATCTGAAGATTTTAAGATGCTTACTTTGTATCTCCACTACGTGTAATGGAAGATTCTAGAGCATATACTGCCATAAAAGACAGCAAAACTGCCATGAAAGGCAATTAAAAATGTTTCTATAAATACATTAGCAACAAGAGAAGGTCTAAGGAGAATCTCCATCCTTTATTGAATGTGGGGGGAAAACAGTGACCAAGAATGAGGAAAAAGCTGAGGTACTTAATGCCGCCTGTGCCTCAGTCTTTAACAGCAAGGCAGTTGTTCTCTGGGTACCCAGCCCCCTGACCTGAAAAACAGGGATGGGGAGCAGAATGAAGCCCTCACAGTCCCAGAGGACCATTTAGGCACACACATACCTATGGGCCTGGATGGGATCCACGCAAGGGTACTAAGGGAGCTGGCAGAAGTGCTCACCAACCTGCTTCCCATCATCTGTCAGCAGTCCTGGCTAACCGGGAAGGTCCCAGTTGACTGGAGGTTAGCAAATGTGATGCCCATCTATGAGAAGGGCTGCAAGGAGGATTTGGAAACTATGGGACTGTCAATCTGACCTCGGTGCCCGGGAAGGTTGTGGAGTAGATCATCCTGGGTACCATCATGCAGCACATACAGGACAACCAGGAGATCAGGCCCAGTCAGCCTGGGTTTATGAACGGCAGGTCCTGCCTGACAGACCTGATCTTCTGTGACAAGGTGACCTGCTTAGTGGATGATGGAAAGGCTGTGGATGTTCTCTGTCTAGACTTTAGTAAAGCCTTTCACATCGTTTCGCACAACATTCTCCCAGAGAAACTGGCTGCTCATGGCTTGGAAGGATGTACTCTTTACTGGGTAAAAAACAGGCTGGATGGCCACCCCAAAGGGTTGTGGTGAATGGAGTTAAATCAGTTGGCGGCTGGTCGCAGGGGGTGTTCCTCAGGGCTCATACTGGGGCCAGTTCTCTTTAACAACTTTATTAATGATCCGGACAAGGGGATCAAGGGCACCCTCAGTAAATTTGCAGATGACACCAGGCTGGGGGGGAGTGCTGATCTGCCTGAGGGCAGGAAGGTTCTTCAGAGGGACCTGGACAGGCTGGATCAATGGGCTGAAGTCAACAGTATGAGGTTCAACAAGGCCAATTGCTGGGTCCTGCACTTGGGTCACAACAACCCCATGTAATGCTTGGGGAGGAGTGGGGAAAGGACTTGGGGAGGAGTGGCTGGAAAGCTGCCTGTCAGGAAAGGACCTGGGGGGGTTTGTTGACAGCAGCTGAATACGAGCCAGCAGTGTGCCCAGGTGGCCAAGAAGGCCAGTGGCATCGTGTTCTGCATTAGGAACAGTGTGGCCAGCAGGATCAGGGAAGAGGTTGTCCCCCTGTACTGGGCACTGGTGAGGCCGCACCTCGAATCCTGTGTTCAGTGTTGGGCCCCTCACTGCAAGAAAGACATTGAGGGGCTGGAGCGTGTCCAGAGAAGGGAATGGAGCTGGAGAAGGGTCTGGAGCACAAGTGCTGTGAGGAGCAGCTGAGGGAGCTGGGGGTGTTCAGCCTGGAGAAGAGGAGGCTGAAGGGACACCTTATCGCTCTCTACAACTACCTGAAGGAGGTTGTAGTGAGGTAGGTGTGAGTGTCTTCTCCCGAGAAAGAAGCAATAGGACAAGAGGAAATGGCCTCAGGTTCTGACAGGGAAGATTCAGATTGGGTATTAAGAAAAGTTTCTTCACGGAAAGTGTTGTCAGGCATTGGAAGGGGCTGCCCAGGGAAGTGGCTGAGTCACCACCCCTGGAGGGATTTAAGAGATGTGTAGATGTGATGCTTAGGGACATGGTTTAGTGGTGGACTTGGCAGTGCTGGGTTAACGGTTGGACTCGATGATCTTAAAGGTCTTTTCCAATCTAAACAATTCTATGATTTTATGTTACTGAAGATTGAATGTAAGAGTAGTACTCTTATTTCTTAAACTTTGTATGTATTTTTAGTGGTTGGGGAAAAAGCAGATGACGTGGACCATAGGGAGGATTACTTTGAGCCCATTTCTCCTGATCGAACATCCATTCATCAAGAAAGCCAGTATTCTGATGATGGAGAAGTTGAGGAAGATCAGCCAGAAGAAGGAGATGATGACGATGATGTGGATGTTGAGGAGGAGGAGGATGACGATGATGATGACGACGATGATGATGATGGGCATACAGTAGAGAGTATTGCTGATGAAGAAGAGGAAGAGGAGGAAGATGATGAAGATGAAGAAGAAGGTGAAGAGGAGGAAGAAGGTGAAGGTAAGTGAAGTTGTAAAAATTAAGGAAAAAATCAGGTTTATGAAATTTTGATGGAAATACCATTGTGATGACTAGGTGTGAAGAGAACTGGATCTTTTTGCCTTGATCATTGTACTATTGCCTGCCTTATTTATGGTTATGGTATCTCTTGGGAACAGTATTTTGCTGTGGAATGTTTTTTCCTTAATAGTAAGTCTTCCTGTTACTCTTGATAAATAGAGGAAAATAGACACAGCTTTTAGAGGTGGGAATGTACATTCGGTCTTGTTATCTGTTTTGTTTAAAAATGTAGGGAAGTGGTGAAAGAAATGATTTCTTAATTAAAAGTTCCTGTCCATACCTGTGCAAAATTTCAGGCTAGAAGTTTTACGATAGGTGCAGTCACAGGAAGAAAATTGGCTAATATTCTTGTGTACCTTAGTGTTGTGGTTTAACTCTGGCCAGTAAAATACCACGAAGCCGCTCTTACGCCTCCCCCTTGCCCTTCTTCAAGCAGAGGGGGAGAATCGGAGGAAAAAGACAAGGAAGCTCGTAAAATTGAGAGAAGAACTATTTACTAATTGAATATAAACAGTATATATACACATAAATGAATATATATAAATACTACTAACAATAAGTAATTAAAATCATAGAAAATAAAACATACGATACAATTGCTCATCACCTGCTGACTGATGCCCAGGTCACGAGTAGTGAGTCTCAGAGCCAGAGAGCCGCAGCCCCAGAGCCAATGCAGCAGAGTCCGAGTGAACCCTGTCAGCAACAGCATGGCTGGGAAAACTAACAAATCCACCAACTCACTCCTGAACAAGCCAGCACGAGAGTTAGTAGAGCAGGTAACAAGGGAGTTGAGGAGTTAACAGAGGGGTTAGCAAAGGAGTGAAAAGAGTGTAGAGAGAGTAATGGCCCCCGAGCCCACTCCCTGCTTAATTACTGAGCACAACATCCTATGTAATTAAATACTCCTTTCGTCAGTTTGGGTCAGCTGTCTGAACTGGGTGTCCCCCCACACTGCTTGTAGCTAGAGAACTGGGAATGCAGCTGCAGTATCAGATGCTGAGAAGACCTTGAATTTGGTGCAAGCACTCCCCAGCATCAGCTGAAAAGACACCTTATCAATACTTTTCTCAGGGTAAATCCAGGAACACAGCTTCATACCAGCCACTGTAAAGAAAATTAACTCTTTCTGACTAAAATCAGCACAAAACTTTTTGCTTTGTACATTCCTTTAAATGTCCTCATTATTACATTAAAAAAAACCTGTCAGCTGGGACTTTCACCTGTATCTGGAGAGAGCAAGCTTTCTGTATGCCACTGTATTGTTCTCTAACCAGTAATATTTCTATTAAATATATTCTTTCTTTTTGATTTTGAGCAGTTTCTCTGCACTTATGAACTGGTGTAATCATGATTAATTTTATTTCATAAATGAATCATTTCAGGAGATGATGGATATGAGCAGATTTCCAGTGATGAAGATGGAATTGCTGATCTGGAACGTGAAACATTTAAGTATCCAAGCTTTGACATTGAATATACTCCTGAGGACCTGGCGTCTGTGCCTCCTGTGACATATGAACCTTTCGAAAGGGAGCTCGGACCTCTTTTATACTTCAGCTGCCCTTACAAGACTGTATTTGAAAATGAAGCTGGTAAAATAAAGGACCAAGACCCAGAAAAAGAGAATTCAGGGGCAGTGGAAGCCTCAGTTAAATTAACCGAACTGTTGGAATTGTATCAAGAGGAAAGGGGTGCCAAGTGGGTCACTGCATTAGAAGAAGTCCCGAGTTTAATAGTGAAAGGATTGAGCTACCTGCAGGTGAAGGACACAAAGCAAGACCATATTACCCAGCTGGTAGACTGGACCCTGCAGGCTTTAAACCTTCAGGTGGCTCTCAAACAGCCCATTGCTTTGAATGTCCGACAGCTCAAAGCTGGGACAAAATTGGTCTCGTCGTTAGGAGAATGTGGGACTCAAGGAATAACGGCACTCTTGCAGGCAGGAGTTATTAATGTGCTGTTTGACCTGTTGTTTGCAGATCATGTATCATCCTCCCTTAAACTTAATGCTTTTAAAGCTTTGGATAGTGTCATTAGTATGACTGAGGGAATGGAAATGTTTCTGAGAGGTGGCGGAGATGTACATGAGAAAAGTGGTTACCAGAAGCTCCTGGAACTCATACTGTTAGATCAGACTGTGAGAGTAGTTACTGCTGGCTCTGCAATTCTCCAGAAATGTCACTTCTATGAGATTCTGTCAGATATTAAAAAGGTGGTTGATCAGTTAGCCGAGAACACTCCTCCTCTGCCTAATCACACGGAGCAAGAACAGGACCAGGACATGGCAGGACTTGAACGACCCAACCAAGAATATGAGAATGATGTGGAGGCTCCTATGGACATGGATCATCTTTTGGAATCTTCTAATATAAGCGAAGGAGAGATGGAAAAGCTTGTTAGTCTTCTTGAAGAAATCTTTCATTTGATGGAAACTGCTCCTCATACAATGATTCAGCCACCTGTGAAGTCTTTCCCAACCATGGCACGCATTACAGGCCCTCCAGAAAGGGATGATCCTTACCCTGTCCTCTTTAGGTATGGCAATTGCAAGTTCACTTGCTAGAGCCTGTTTCCTCCAGTTCGATACAGATGGTTTTTTAGGTGTGACCTTGGTGACTAACACTTTTCTAGATGTTTCACTTTGTATTTATTGGAGGATTCTATATTGTGCTTATGAAGTCTGGGAGAGTTCGATAGTTAATGTACCTGTTATTTGGTTGGTTTCCAACCAACCCAGCATGCATAAACCAAGAAGTTAACCTCTTGTTATTACTGGTACCGTGCTAGCACTTGAGTCTCATTCACCGATCCTGACCAGTTGTGCTAGGTGCTATACAAGCGCATATTTGAAAATTGTTACGGATCTAGAGTGTTTTCCCTTTGCCATCTTGGAACATGTCTGTATGTATGGAGAGAAAAGTCTGGAATACCTCTGTATGCCGAGGTGGCAAGATGTAAGCCAGCTCTGGTTAGAAGTCGTGCGATTGTGTCAGGGTAGCTCACTGTTTCCACAGCACAGGCGGAGGAGGTGAGGCCTGCTTCCCTTCCCCCCCTGAAAGAATCCCATGGCTTATTTCTCTGTTAGCAGGTTTCTGCCTAGAAAGGATTTCTCTAGATGCTAACGGGTTTCTTTGATAGTGGTGTAGGTCATGGCTGAATATAAGTATCTACATGCAAAGGGTCTTCAGACCACCTCTTACGCATGCTGTGATTGACTTCTTAGCACGTTTAGAACATGTAATGCAGCACTGATGATGATTCAGATACAGAAAACTTAAAGTGTTATTTTGTTTGTAGATAAGGTGAGGTTGGTGGTTTTGTTTGGTTTGGATTTTTTTTTTTTTGAGCTCAAATTTTTTATTTAGGGATTTATTTCCTGCAAATATTACAGCAATTATGTTTTGTGAGATTAAACTTTTGTACTACTTCAGAACTAGTTGTTATTTCTCATAGTCCATGGAGCAATAGGTACTGAAGCTAGGAGGCGTGCGATTTTATGTAATGTTACTATGCAGTGTTGGCAGATGATTGTAATATCACTGATTATTTTCCTGTTTTTTTTTTTTTTCAGATACCTTCATAGTCACCATTTCTTGGAATGCATTACTTTGCTGCTGTCTATTCCAGTGACAGGCGCACACCCAGGTGTGCTTCAAGCTATACGAGATATATTGCGTTTCCTGGCACAGTCCCAGAAGGGTCTTCTTTTCTTTATTTCCGAGTACGAAGCAACAAACTTGTTGATTAGAGCACTTTGTCAGTTTTCTGATCCGGATCAAGAGGAAGGTCTCCAATCGGATGGTGCCAATGAGGATACTTTTGCCCTGTGGCTTCTGCATTCAACACAGACCTTACAGTGCATCTCAGAATTGTTCTGCCACTTTCAGCGGTGCATGGCCACTGAGGAGACCGACCATTCAGACCTGCTGGGAACGCTTCACAACCTTTACCTGATTACCTTCAACCCTGTGGGAAGATCTGCTGTGGCTCACGTCTTCAGTCTGGAGAAAAACCTCCAAAGTCTTATTACTTTAATGGAGTACTATTCCAAAGAAGCTTTGGGGTAATTTATGCTTTTATTTATATCCCTTAGAGTTTTATATTTTTCAAATATCTGTCTTTTATGTATAGTTCATTAAATCTAAAATGCTTTTTTTCTTTTAGATCATGATGTATTTATTTAAAACCAAAACAACTTTTAAGCAGAAGAACGTAATAGAAAATCAGGTCTGTCAGTTGAAATCAAATACTTCAGACCCAGAATCTGCGTAGGTTGTCCACAGAGGTGTTGCAGTGTAGGTCAGGCTTTTGGCTCTGTGAAAAATTAGTAAGCAGGCAGTTTTTGTTCAAGCATAAAATTTGACTGTGAATCAAGCAAAAGATTTGGCCAGGCAAACTGGACACTGCACACTTCTCTGGGGTGGGAACCCCTCAGTTCTTTACGTTTATCTGTTAAAAAGTCATTATTTTCTCTGGACAGGCAGTTTTACCACTTTGGGTAGCAGTGGTTTTAAAACAGGGTTTGTAAACCAGACAAAGTTAGGGAAAAAGATTTGCGTGCTCTTTGACTTGCTGTCATCTTTTGTGGGTGCTGAAATAGGTATGAAGTCAGTGCAAAAGAAAGCTTTCACTTTTCAAACGCCATCGGAGAAGATTGTTTGGGTTAATTGGTTGATAATTATATGGGGCAACCCTTGGTAAAGATAAAGTTCTGTAGGTAGATTTTTAGTGGTCAAAGAGTGGAAATCTAATGGATACCCTGTTGTATTAGCTGAAATCTAAAGGAAATCCTTCTCCTTGTTTCAGAGACTCAAAGTCTAAGAAGTCAGTAGCTTATAATTACGCCTGCATCCTTGTTTTGCTGGTGGTTCAGTCTTCCAGTGATGTCCAAATGCTGGAACAGCATTCGGCACCTTTGCTGAAGCTTTGTAAAGCGGACGAAAATAACACCAAATTGCAAGGTACAGCCTGTGTCACTATCAACGGAATTGTCGGAATGTGTAGAAGAAACGTTTGGTATGTGGGTAATTGGTGCTTCCTGATCAGCTGGTTTGGATAATGTGTGTAGTGAAACTGTTTTCCAGCTGCATCTGCTTAGTTGAGTCACTGGGATAATGTGTGAGTGGTTTTTTCTGTTCATGAGAGTTAAATAGGAAATTCTTTATAGTTAAATAATTTTCCAAGTAATACTAACTACCATGAATTTTGGATAATCATAGGAAGTTTGACATTATTTCTGTGTTCAAAACTGGAGAGCAAATTTTAGTAAAAATGGCCTGACTAGTCAGTGAGCTGACTCTTATTTTTGTTCTCCTCTTTAGTGATGTAGCCATGTAGGGTCTTTATACACTACAAGATAATCCTGGGACCGTTTTCTGGCTCCTAGTTCCAGCTGGCATGGAATAGTCCATGTTACCCTGTTAATAACACTTTTGACCTCCCAGCAGTGTCTTGGTGTGTTCCCTGGCTTGTGCTGACTCACAGATCAGGTCCGAGAAGGAAAAGCCTTCTGGGGACTCCTCTGACACCTGAACGTTGACACTCGGACGTCCGGAGTTGCGCTCTGCGCTGCTTAACTGACTCATAGAGACAGACCAATAATTTCTTCCAAAGCTTAAGTGGGCTGAAAGAAATCAGAATTCTTCAAATTTTTAGTGTAATTCGCTCCTCTGCCATGCTTTTATTTATTTACTCCTCGCCTGATGGTCAGACGGTTTCATGAGGAGCGGGGCTGGTTTATGAAACGGAATCGTGACATCAGTCTGAGACTAATTGTCAGTTCATATCCAGTCGATCTCTGAAACTTCACATTCTTTTCAGTATTTTCAGGGACAGTGGGATTTAAAACTTTAAACCCCTTTTCCCCCCAGACCGGGACTTTTATGTTATTCTGGACTAAGAGAGGGACACACTTCATCTGTAAGGGCTTGTGGAGTGAGTGCGTGTTGCTGGTGCAGAGGTTGGCTCCATTTGGGCATTTGACAGGCGTTCTGTATTCAGTTGGTAGTCACCTGCTGTGCACACCAAGGGGAACGTGCTTTGTTCCCTGCTCTTGATGACTTCTTCTGTAGCTGACAGCGGGACCCTTAGTGTATTTTATAAAATACATTTCATTATAAATAATACAGATGATAAGCTGAAAGTTATTTGAGCGTTCAGGTTAACTTGAGCTAAATTTTGTCTGTGTACGTGAGGTGTATTGCTTGTCCTGAAGTCTTGTTTTTGTTGATGCTTTTCAGCAGGCTACAGCTGCCACGTATGCCTCACAGATTTCACACTTGGCCTTGGTGCCCGTTGTGTAAATGAAGTACATCTTTATTGAAAAAAAGTTTTTTGTTCATAAATGCACCGACAAGTTACTTGATTAAGTCTTTTTCTTTTTTCCTCCAGAGCTCAGCAAGTGGCTTGAACCTTTGAAAAATCTTAGATTTGAAATAAACTGCATTCCAAATCTCATTGAATATATCAAACAGGTTAGTGAAATACAGGTAGAAGTTATCTTTTGGTTGTGCTCTCTAAGCTTAGACCTTTTGTAGTTTGGTATTTTATCTTAGGTATGTACTAATATATGGTATTTAAAAATATATACTGTTATCCAGAATAGATGTTGTTAGTAAAGCTTATAATCTAGGCCAGTTCTTGCGCTCAGTTATGTTTATTGAGGCAAAATGGAAGGTAAATACGTGGTGCAAAGATCCAACTGTTTAAATCTTTTAGCTTCCCATAAAAACACAACGCAGACGTTGACCCTCCTTTCTTTGCTTCTGCCATGTTTGTGACTGCTTTCTGAAAGGTGGAATAATTGCACTTAAACTTATTTTAAATACTTACAGTAACTAAATAATTTGAATACTAAGCTAGTGATACACGTGTAACTTCCTTCCTTGTAATACAGATCTTTGTTTTGTTTCTTCTCCTCCCCTAAAAGAATATTGACAGTCTGATGACCCCAGATGGAGTTGGTCTTCCTACGGCACTTCGCGTGCTTTGTCACATTGCATGCCCGCCGCCTCTGGTAGAAGGTATGCTCGCTTGATGTGTACTGCTTAAGACAGAAAGCTTAGTTTTCTGAGTCTTCTCCTTAAACGTGGCTGAAGTGCAGGTGTGATAGCCCACAAGAAATTAGAGCGGAATGTTTTCTTTTCCGTACAGGTCAACAGAAGGACCTTAAATGGAATCTTGCAGTTATTCAGCTCTTCTCTTCTGAGGGGATGGACACCTTCATCCGGGTGCTGCAGAAGCTGAACAGCATACTTATTCAGCCTTGGCGGCTCCACGTCAACATGGGCACCACGCTTCACAGAGTCACTACGATTTCTATGGCCCGCTGTACTCTCACCCTCCTTAAAACAATGCTGATGGAGCTCCTGAGGGGTGGATCTTTCGAGTTCAAAGACATGCGTGTTCCGTCAGCGCTCGTCTCTTTACACATGCTCCTGTGTTCTATTCCTCTCTCCGGCCGCTTAGATAGCGATGAACAAAAAATTCAGAATGACATTGTGGATATCTTACTGGCTTTTACGCAAGGTGTTAATGAAAAACTTACCATTTCTGAAGAAACTCTGGCAAACAATACTTGGTCTTTAATGCTGAAGGAAGTTCTCTCTTCAATTTTGAGAATTCCCGAAGGCTTTTTCTCTGGGCTTATACTGCTTTCGGAATTGTTGCCTCTTCCACTCCCCATGCAGACGACTCAGGTATAATTTAGATTTATTTAGTTTTTAAAGAATTTTAATTATGTGTAACTGTTAGACCATTTTTGTTGTTGTGAAAGGGTGGATTAAACTTTTTGTAAAGCATTTGTGTTCATGTAGATGCTTTGAAGATACATCTTTTTCAGCAGAAGCAAAACTGTTACTATTTGGAGCATCTTTTAAAATTAGCAGTCATATGGTGTTCTTTGTGCCTTGTGAAATTATCTGGACTCCCATTCTGTTACTTAAATGATTGGCTGTGGAGCCTTTGAATTTAACCCTGAATGCCAAACTCTTGCTATATTAAGTCTCTCCCTTTTTTTGGTTTGGATCTTGAATTTGTGATCTTTAATAAGTAAGCATAAAAGGTGTGTGACTGCCCATGCTCCTGAAGGAATACCTAGTTTGCTGGAATCGTAACCTGACATTCAGTGACAATAATGAAAATGGCATTCTGTGTCTTTGATGAGGACAGTCTTTGTTTATACCTCGTGATAGAATTCTGGTTTTATGTTGAGAGGAAAAACCTCCTGTCCTGTTCCTCCAGGTAATCGAACCACATGATATTTCAGTGGCACTCAACACCAGGAAGCTGTGGAGTATGCATCTTCATGTTCAGGCCAAACTGATACAGGAGATAGTGCGATCCTTCTCCGGTTCCTCTTGCCAGCCTATTCAGCATATGTTGAGACGTATCTGTGTTCAGTTGTGTGACTTGGCTTCACCTACGGCCCTTCTTATCATGAGGACTGTGTTGGATTTGATTGTAGAAGACCTACAAAGGTATCCTTGTTCTCTGCTGCAAAGATTGCTTAATGAAACTGTTAAATTCACCTTGGATCTGCGCAGTAGATTTAGCAGGAGGAAAATACTTCCAGAAATATTACTTATGCATTATGAACTGAATGAATTCTCAGTCTGGTGCTATAAACAGTGTCCTGATAATGCTTAACGTTGCCAAGGAACTCTCTCGTACTCTTAAGTTTTGATGTAGACAGTTCCATATTGTATGTTTATGGTAAGTATTTTAGGAAGATTTTATGTGGGCTGTCCCTACAAAGCCTTCTCTCATCTGTGGATTGCTTCTGAAGGGCCTGTCTGATATAAATAAGAAAAGTAGGCCAGTAAAGTTTGCTGTACTGGGATTTGCATACTAACAGGAAAATGTGTAGATTCTTCTACACTGGAGGAACTTGAATACTACAAATTCAGAGGGTTTTGAAACAAGGAGTAGTGTTTGTTTAGAAGCATAATCACCCACATAGAATTAGATACCGCTTGTATCAAAGCATATTTATCTGTATACAGATAGATGCCCTATATTATGTTAAATGCATGGTAGATTAGTTAATTTATGATGCAACCAGAAGTCATTCAGTGGAAGTTGAGCGGTTTTCAAAAAGTAAGTGAAACTGTAAGTTGAAGTATGTAGACGAGGTGGGTTTTTATTGTGAACTGCAGAATTATATGACTTCTGTCATGGTTGGTTTTTATAGTGTTTTTGTTAGATCACTTTAAAACAGCTTTTTCAAAGTGCACTGATATCCTTTCAGCAACACAGAAGATAAAGAGAAACAGTACACTGGGCAGACCACGCGGTTGCTTGCCTTATTGGATGCCCTGGCTTCGCATAAAGCTTGTAAAGTGGCCATGTTGCATCTCATCAATGGAACTACTAAAGGTGATGAAAAGTACGGGGAGATCTTCCAGGAGCTCTTGGCTTTGATGCGATCGGCCGGGGACAATGTCAGTCATCAGCAGTGCGCTGAATGTGTGACTTCCCTCTTGCAGTCCCTCTGTGATCAGGTATTTTCTATATTTAATGTGTAGTGTGTGTTGCTGATTGTAGGAGACAAATTAAATGAGCTTATTTCTTCAGTGCCTGCTATTTTGCCAAAAGGAAAAAATCTATCAACACTGTTGAAACAAAAAGAAAAAATGTGTCTGGTTGGCTGCTTGGGCAGACATGCTGTCTTGGTGCTCTTGAGTGTAAATATTTTCATTTTCTGATACCTCTTTCACATTATGTGAGCTTTTCGGTAGCTCATTAGAGACCGAATACTGAATGGCACAGAGACTGATGTCCCCTCAGCTGAGGGGGATGGCATTTCTCCCTGTGGGCCACTGGCAGCGCTTGAGTTGGCACTATTCACCTCTTACCTAGTTGAATAAATATGCCTGTCTTAGTTGTGAAACCTCTTAAAAATGTATGCCAAATTTAAAGATAGGTGTGATATATATATCTGAGCAACCTGGTCTAGTGGAAGGTGTCCCTGCCCATGGCAGGGGGGTTGGAACTAGATGGTCCTTAAGGTCCCTTCCAACCCAAACCATTCTATGATTCTGTGATATGCTGCTACTGTAAAACTCCACCATTAAAAAAAACCCAAAAACTAGAGCAAGGTAAGGAATGTTACCTGAAAACTGATTCGTAGCCTAGCCCCAGTAGTTTCTCATCAGTTGCATACATAGATTTGCATGTCGTTAGATTTGCCTTACTAGTTGCATTTGTTTATCTGCTTTAGTGCTTACCCACTTCTGGGGAAGACGTGGGGATTGTTGGTCAGTAGAGATAATCAGCCATTTGCATATAAACGAGAGCCCTTTGCCCATGTGAATTCGCTGTGAAAGTCGATCTGGTTTTATTCTGTGTAAGATGGGGGGGGAGGGGGGCGGGGCATTTACGCCTTCCAGGCGGTGTCTGCAGCCTTGTAACTTTCACAGAACCACGGAATCGTGGAATAATCTCAAGCTGGAAGGGACCCATAAGGGTCATTGAGTCCGAGTCCCTGCTCCGCGCAGGACTACTTAACACTCCATATGACTGAGTGTTGTCCAGGCGCTCCCTGATCTCTGACAGGCTGGATGCTGTGACCACTTCTCTGGGAACCCTGTTGCAGTGACCACCTGCCCTCTCAGGGAAGAACCTTTTCCTAATGCCTGGTCTGAGCTTCCCCTGGGGCAGCTGCATTCCATTTCTGTGTCCTGTCGCTGGAGAGGAGAGATCAGCACCTCCCTCTCCACTGCCCCCCTGAGGAGGTTGTAGACTGCCATGAGGTCACCCCTCAGCCTTCATGGGACTGAACGAGAGAGAGTAAGAGAGGGAGAGTAATGGCTCCCGGACCCCTCCTCGCCTCTGCCCCCAGCATGACGTACTATGGGATGAAATACTCCCTTGGGCAGTTTGGGTCAGGTGCCTGAACTGTGTGTCCCAGCACTGCCTGTAGCCAGACAGCGAGAGCTGGGAACGCAGCTGCAGTGTCAGAAGGGGAGAAAGACCTTGAATTCAGTGCAGGCATTGCCCAGCGCCAGCTGAGAACTTATCAGTGCTGCTCTCTGCATCCAGGAACAGCTTCCTAGCAGCCACGGTACAGAGAGTTAACTCCTGGCTGAACCCAGCACAAACGCCTAACAGAACCAAATTAAAAAGTATGCTGGGGATTAGTGTTTTACCGTTCAGTAATAACTGAAATACTGGACTAAGATGATAACGGGGTAGTGGAAGAACCTGCTTCTGACTTAATGGATGGTTAATACTTATTGCTGCTGTACAGGATGTTTTTTTACTATGTGTTTTATAACCATGTTTTATAGGATATTGCGCTCATTTTACCAAGTTCATCAGAAGGCTCTGTGTCCGAATCAGAGCAGCTTTCCAACTCCTTACCAAGCAAAGAGCTGATGCCTTTAATTTGTGACTGTCTGATGGAAACATTAAGTAACTCGGAGAGCAGTTACAGCTGTCTGCTGACGTGTATCCGAACAATGATGTTCCTTACAGAGCATGACTACGGCTTCTATCACTTGAAGAGGTATGGTGTTCTGAGATACCGCTGACAACTTAAAATGACTTAAAAACTTCTGCAATGTGGAATAATTTCCTACTCGTGTAGTAGGAAATGTCGAGGATAAGGCACCTGCACTTTTATTTCTCTTGGGGTTTCGGTGTTTCTCTCTGTAAAGCCCTGCCTTCACTTGAGCTTTTACCTCTGAATCGTTTCTGCAGTGTGCACACAGGAGCACTTCCTTTTGAGAAACAAAGCACTGAAAACAGGGTTGTATACCCCATTTCCCTGCTCCAAGGCTGGAGATGAGGAGAAGATGCAGTGCTCTTGTCCCTCCCTCTGGAGTCCCTCAGTATTTGGAGCTCTCATCTGGGACACTGGAGAGCTGTATGCCATTCCCTCTATTTTGAGGGGATTCGGTTTGCATTTCCCCAGTGTTCTGACCTCCGGGCTATCGAAAGGAGGGTTTTTTTAATTTAAACTACTTTTGTTGACTCTGCTCCCTTCTGAACAGAATATACACATGCATTGGATAGTGTTGTGCTGCTCTGACACTTAATTCCTTGTCCTGTACTGGGACCTGTTTCTCTTCACTGAGGGTGAGGTGCAGAGAGGCCAAGGAAGTTGTGAAATTCCCAGGGAGGAAAAAACAGTACCTGGAGCCTTGTCAATAAAAGGTTGTTCAAAATACTCTTCAAAGCAGAACTACAGACCTGTGCTGCTCAGGCTGCAAAAAGCTCTACAACCTGAAAGTTCAAAATGAGCAGGTTGAAGGTGCTGTTGTTTCGGTGATCCTGTATTGTCTAGCTGTCAGCTTCAGTGCAGGGCCTACAAGGAAGCTGGGAGGGGGCTTTTTGCAAGGGCCTGTAGTGACAGGACAAGGGGTAACGGGTTTAAATTGAAAGTGGGGAGGTTGAGATTAGATATCAGGAAGAAGTTCTTCCCGGAGAGGGTGGGGAGGCAGTGGAACAGGTTGCCGAGAGAAGCTGTGGATGCCTCATCCCTGGAAGTGTTCAAGGCCAGGCTGGATGAGGCTTTGAGCAACCTGGTCTAGTGGAAGGTGTCCCTGCCCATGGCAGGGGGGTTGGAACTAGATGGTCTTTAAGGTCCCTTCCAACCCAAACCATTCTATGATTCTATGTTCCTGTGCTGGTGATGGCCTTTCTGGTTTGTTTCTGCGGTTCGGCATCATGGGGTGCAGTGAAATTGTAACAGCAAGCATGATCCTGCTTTATACATGAGGCCCTTGTGCAAGAAAGTATTTCTGTGCTCCTAGGAAATGGTCCTGCCAGAGCTGGAAATGTCATTCCATACTGGTTTTAAGGGTATTGCTGTAGTACGTAGAGCTGTGCATGTGCAGACCAAACATTGTCAGGCAGCACTGCTGAGAGTGACAGTCTGCGACGGAGAAAATAGTGATGTGCCAGCTTCGTAGTCAAAACTCTACTTGATAATTATAAAATTTACCAAAATTTATTTTGCGTGTATGTTGTTTTCTCACAGCAAGTTACAGCGGGGAATGGTCAGAGTGTATGCACTAATGAAGGGTTTTTCTCTTTCCACTGTGAAAACAGCTCTCTAAGAAAACACAGCACTGCTCTCTACACTGTATTAAAGCGAGTAATAACCAGTTTTAGCAAAGACACGGGTGAACTGGCTTCTTCTTTTTTGGATTTCACGCGGCAGATCCTGAACACAGATACGCTGGTAAGTGAGCGTATTGAACGCTTGGACGAACTCGGCTGCGTTGCTCCCACATCTGCAGTGAGAGGGACGTTGGGGAACGATGAGAAAGCAGTTGGCTCTGCAGATTGCTGTGTAAGGCTTTTCCATCAGTGGTGTTAGTGCCATCTTTAGTTTTTAATGGAATCTGTGAAAGCTGAGCAGAACATATGTTTAGTAAATAAGAGGGTTTTTCAGGCATAGTGATCGGTGCCGATTTCCTAAGTGACTAGCACGCCAGGTTTTAGATTCATGGCATCCTCTTAGAAAGTTGCTCTGTTGACAGGTAGTATAGAAAGGAATCTGAAATACTCGTTAGTTCTGTGATGTAAACTTCAGCTTATACAGGAGAGGATTGCATTCACCTTGATGCAGCATCTAAACTTGCCCATTGACGTGTACTTTATTAAAAGGTTTTCGATAATACCTTTTTAAATCAAGAGATTACTCTTGTTTTGCAAGATTTGCTCTAAAGTATGCTGGAATTCCAAGGGGTTTGCAGTCCAGAAGTATAGTGAATATTTATGTGTGCTGATTTCCCGCTTGTCAAATATTTCAGGGATGCTGTGGGGATGATGGAAACCTTATGGAAACAGATGGATCTCATCCAGGCAGAACGCTGGGTCTAACTACTGCGGAGTTAAAACATCTACTGCAGAACAAAGAAGAAACCCCAGAAAACCTGCTGCTTGATCTGGAGAAACATGTTATGGTAAAAGAATTTAAATTATCAACTTGATGTTGCAGTCTCGTGTTTGAAAATGTTTTTAAAACAACACAGACTGTTCCTCCTTGATGAGAAGGGTGTGCCAATTCCGTGGCATTCCATGTGGAATCAGCAATGGCTGTTGCCCTTGTTTTAACGCTGATGTCCAAGATCTCCTGTTTTCTGCAGGATGGATTCTGACGTTATTGTCTGTAGTAGGGTGAGGATCCCTGTGTACTGAGAATATTTGCACACCATGAGAGTGTAGGCAGTTAACTGTGTGATGACGGGCAGCGAATGCAACAGCAGAGAGCGCTGGATGGCGCTGAAGCCGACTGTTAATGTGATAAGCAGCAGGAAACCCTGCGTAGCAGTGGCTTGATGTTACTGGTGACCAGTAACGAGTGGAATACCCAGGAGTCAATACTGGCACTGATACCGTTGGCTGTTTTCAACAGAGACCTGAACGATGGATACGTCTTCAGTGAATTCAGGGGTTACAGGATGTGGGGGGGAGTAACTAATGTGAGAAACAACACCACAGTCTTGATCCAGAGGACCTAAATAACTTTTTAGGTTTGATTTAGCAGAAAGCTTTTGTGGTTTGTTAGGAAAAATGCCAGGTGCTGCAGTGAGAGCAGGATAATGCCATGCCTTGGTGCGGGCCGGGCTGAAGAGGGCTGGTGGGTGTCAGGCTGAACGCGGGCCGACAGCACGTGGTCACTGCAGAGCATGTTCTGAGCTATCGTGGAAGGAGCAGGGTCAGCACATGAGGGACCTTACTGTCTCCCTCCACGGGATGCTGGTGGGCTCTTACGTGGAGCACTGCGTTCACCTTTGGCCAGTTCTAGAAAGATTTGGGGAGACTAAAGAGGGTTCTGCCCTATCAGTCAGGGACCTGGAGGCACACATGCGGTAGGGAGAGGAGGAGGAAGCGGGGCTTGCTTAGCTTGATGAGGAGGGCTAAGGAGCTATCTCAGAGCTATTTCCAGCTGTTTGGGGGATAGTAACAAAGATCACGGAATCAAACCCCTTTTGGTAACTCCAGGTGATAAAACAAAGGCCCCAGATTGTGGCTTCAGAGGTTCAGGTTGAGGTTAGGGAAAATCACTGCGAGAGGTGCCGCAGCGAACAGGTTGCCCAGAGTGGCTGTGGGCTGTCCCTGGAGCTTTTTTAGATGCGGCTGGATAAAGTTGTGGCTGACCTGATCTGGCTTTGATGATAGCCCAGCTTCAAGCAGGGGGAGGTTGGACTAGAGGACGTGCAGGATTCAGTGCATCCAACATTTCTGTGATTATAATCACCGCCTTCACTGGTGTTCACATCTAACCCTGCGTAAGGGATGGCAGCCGTGCAGTAGATGGCTAATTCACCCTCAACATCAGAAGGGTATTGACCAGTTGGAGAGAGTCCAGAGGAGGGCACGAAGATGCTCAGAGGGCTGGAGCACCTCTGCTCTGGGGACAGGCTGAGAGAGTTGGGCTTGTTCAGCCTGGAGAAGAGAAGGCTCCGGGGAGACCTTATAGCACCTTCCAGTACCTGAAGGGGCTACAAGGAAGCTGCGGGGGACTTTTTACAAGGGCCTGTAGTGACAGGACAAGGGGTAATGGGTTTAAATTGAAAGTGGGGAGGTTTAGATTGGATGTCAGGAAGAAGTTCTTCACGGACAGGGTGGTGAAGACACAGGTTGGCACTGGCACAGGTTGCCCAGAGAAGCTGTGGATGCCCCATCCCTGGAAGTGTTCAAGGCCAGGCTGGATGAGGCTTTGAGCAACCTGGTCTAGTGGAAGGTGTCCCTGCCCATGGCAGGGGGGTTGGAACTAGATGGTCTTTAAGGTCCCTTCCAACCCAAACCATTCTGTGATTCTAATTTGAGAGTCCGTAGAACAGCTGGTCCACAGCCTGTTGGTCACAAATGCCTTGCCAGTGCCATACTCCCTCTTGCCTCTTCCCTGGCTGCCTGCGTGTGGGTAAAAGATAAAAGCCACAGCTGTGCTGAAGGAGAAATTGCAGACACTTTGGATGCTGGAAATGCTGTAGCAGGGAGCTTGTGAACTAAAAACCTGGAGTGACGACATCTTTGGGACTATGCTATGGAGGTTATTGCGTCCACTGCAGTTTGGTCTTGGGGCTTTCTTAACTTAACAAAAGCATATTTCCTTCTTTGGGGAGGGGAAAAAAATTCTGACTTGCGCTGTGTTCACTTAGGATCGTTCCAAGGAAGATGATGGCCTTGAATCCTTACTGGACAACATTGTTGGAGTGAGGCAGATGTTGGAATCGGCGGGTGATTCTTGTCCGCTCAGTGACCAGGATGTAGAGCCTATTCTTTCTGCACCAGACTCTCTTCAGAACTTGTTTAACAACAGGTAAAGTGTTTAAGTGTGTGAGCACACAACCTGTGATTTACTTAAGGAAACGTAATAACTTACGAGTGAGGATGAACAGGATATAAACAGCACTGTTGTCACCACTCCATACCAGTCGCAGTGTATTTAATTTCATGCAGGCAGCAAGGGTAAGGCAGCAACGTTCACCCCAGGTTGTGTGATGCTGCCTGCCTTTGCAGCTGGTTGTAGTTCATAACCAAACAGGCCTTGGGCGTTGTTTCGTTGCAGGACTACTTACGTGTTGGCAGACGTGATGGATGACCAGCTGAAGTCCATGTGGTTCTCACCCTTTCAAGCTGAGGAAATAGACACCGATCTGGATATGGTAAAATGCTTCAGTAACATAACTGAAGTGGATTTAAAAATGAGGGTTAACCTGAGGTAGCAGCATCAGAAATTCATGTGGCCAAAGGGTTTGTTTTCCTGAGCTCACCCCTGTCAGTTGACCCAGATGTAGGGGTTGGCGTCTCTTAAGGGTCGTTACCAAATGTCTCCGGGCTCGCTCGGAAGCAACCACAAAACTGGCACCTTCTGCAGCGCTGTAACTCAGAAGCCCACCCCAGCCCTTAGAGGAACAGTTGCTGTGTCAGTCCTGACCTGCTTTTGCGTTGCTGCTGGGGCTTTTCAGCAGTTTATGTTAAATGTATACAAAGAATGTGATGTATTTTCTTTTCCTTGCTCGTCTTCAGTCATTGCACTCAAAGAGCCTGACAGCTCTACTTTAAAAAAAAATAATCCTTGCTCTGATGTGACAAAAGTGGAAAAAATGGCAGTAGTAAATGAAACTACTCACACAAAAACTTCTCACAATATTTGAAGCTTTATAATCTAAACTTGAAATGCTATTTTGAAAAATACACTTTTTTTAAACCAAGCAATTGGCAGCATCTTCTTATGTGAGAAACAGTCTGTTGACTTCATTGCCTTCATTATTTTTTAGTTTTACTCCTTTCTTTTAAATTTACATGCAAAGATACGTGTGTATTAATTTCTTAAGCCAACCCCAAACTGTTGATTCTTGTACCAAAGCAGCATTAATAAATGCAAGGACTGCAGCTTAGGCAGAGGAGTGGCTCACTGTACGTCGTTTAGCGACAAGACACGTGTTCGTGCTTGAAAGCCCAGTCAGTCAAGCCAAGCCCTTGACTTGGCTGAGATTCAGAACAATCCTGACAAATTTGCTGCAGCTCTGCTGCTTTCTTTTGTTTTGAGCCACACTACAGCATTAAAAGGTAGAGGACGGAGCTTTTCTGTTCTAGTAGAAGGACAAAGGGTAACGGGTTTAAAATGAAAGTGGGAGATTTAGATTGGATATCAGGAAGAAGTTCTTCCCGGAGAGGGTGGTGAGGCACTGGAACAGGTTGCCCAGAGAAGTTGTGGATGCCCCATCCCTGGAAGTGTTCAAGGCCAGGCTGGATGAGGCTTTGAGCAACCTGGTCTAGTGGAAGGTGTCCCTGCCCATGGCAGGGGGGTTGGAACTAGATGGTCTTTAAGGTCCCTTCCAGCCCAAACCGTTCTGTGATTCTAAGGACCCTAGCTGAGTCTCATCCATCCTGGTGCAGCATGTTTTCTTCTTCAGAGGTGCTAGTAGTGATTGTGTGATAAAACTACACTCTGTCACTGCAGGTAAAAGTTGACTTAATTGAACTGTCAGAGAAGGGCTGCAGTGACTTTGACTTGCAAGCTGAATTGGAGAGGTCATTTTTGTCAGAACCATCATCTCCTGGCCGCACAAAAACCACAAAAGGGTTCAAACTTGGAAAGCACAAGCACGAGACCTTCATAACTTCAAGGTAAGATGCGTTTAATGAGTTGAGTGCGTTCAGCACTGAGCTATATCTTCTCAGAATGCCACCTTTCAGATGGCATCTCCTGTATGGAAAGTGCCTGACTGTCAGTAGGAGCACTTGCCACGTTAACCAAGGAAATCATGGTTTGTCTTGACAGTGGAAAGTCTGAGTACATAGAGCCTGCAAAGAGAGCTCATGTTGTGCCACCACCAAGAGGAAGAGGCCGGGGAGGATTTGGACAAGGAATTCGACCGCACGATATCTTCCGTCAGAGGAAACAGAACACGAGCAGGCCACCCTCCATGCACGTGGACGATTTTGTTGCTGCAGAGAGCAAAGAAGTGGTTCCTCCAGATGGGATACCACCAGCCAAAAGGCCACCAAAAGTGTCACAGAAGATTTCATCGCGTGGTGGGTTCTCAGGGAATCGTGGAGGACGAGGAGCTTTTCACAGTCAGAACAGGTTCTTTACGCCACCTGCTTCAAAAGGTGAGTTTCTTGTGTTAGAATTGGAGTCAGTGAATGCTAAAGATGCTCAGAGGGCTGGAGCACCTCTGCTACGGGGACAGGCTGAGGGAGTTGGGCTTGTTCAGCCTGGAGAAGAGAAGGCTCCGGGGAGACCTTACAGCACCTTCCAGTACCTGAAGGGGCTACAAGGGAGCTGGGGGGGACTTTTTACAAGGGCCTGTAGTGACAGGACAAGGGGTAATGGGTTTAAGCTGAAAAAGGGTAGATTTAGATTAGATATCAGGAAGAAGTTCTTTGATCCTGACAAGAATCAGATGCCATTTCCAGTGAATATGGAGTTTTTAGCTACTGAGTGTAAAGTTTCTTTCGTACGTGGACAAGGTTGCATTCCTGTCCCTGCTGTCCCGTAATTAGGGCAAGTCCTTGCACAGTAGAAACAGGAAATACTTCTCTTTAGTGAAGTTTTAAATACGAGGATTTACTTTACCACAAAACCTTATCCAGTGTAGTAAGAGTCTGTGATGTGAATTCTTTTAAACTTGAGTTCACGTCTGAAAAATAGATAATTTCTCCCCGGTTCTATGTGTAATAGAGTAACTTGGAGTCGGCATACTGAGGGCGTGTGGATGCTGTCGTGGTTTAACTCCAGCTAGCAAAATACCACGGAGCCGCTCTCACAAGCAGAGTAGCTTTACCTCCTGGGATCATGTAAATACTGTGTCTTGTGATGATTGCAATGGAAGAAAAACCCCCAGTTTGCTCAACAGTGCGTGGGTTTTTTCTCTCCCTGTAGGAAATTACAGCCGTCGTGAAGGCGCTCGAGGCTCAAGTTGGAGTGCACAGAGCACACCCAGGGGAACCTACAATGACAGTAGAGGTGGCCAAAGCAATTTTAACAGGGGTCCCCTGCCACCACTGAGACCATTGAGTTCTGCAGGTACATGGTATTCGTATGGGCATCGAACTATAGAAAATTCCTTGAATTTCATTTTTGCTTTACAAATGAAACCGTGCAAGGATGCTGCAGACACCTTGAAATTCGGCAAATGTTTTAAGCATATCTGAACGGTTGGCACTGAGACTGTGTCAGATAAGAGGCTTTCGTACGAACCGCCCTCTAACCCGTAGAACTTGCTGAGGTGAACGCTTGATCGCTGAACCTTTAATCTTGCATTCAGATTTTTGGGTTTTTTTGTGGTGTTTTTTTTTTTTTTTGCAATTCAGTTGTCTTCGTACCTACAGGGTAATTATAGAGCCAGCCAAAGCAGAAATGCTTGCCTAAACGAAAAGTGACAATTAAAAGGAGAAACCAGACCCCGTTTGTGTCTCACCTTGGTTCTGTTTCTCGTGCTTTTCAGCAGCTGCTACGCCTAGGGCTTCTTTTTTTTTTTTTCCCCCTTTTTTTTTCCAACTGAGTATACTTTTCTTTGCTTTAAGGCTACCGACCGAGTCCTCGCGATCGTGCTTCCAGAGGCCGGGGAGGAATTGGACCATCTTGGACAAGTGCTAATAGTAGTAGCAGTGGTGGCTCGAGAGGGAAGTTTGTTAGTGGAGGCAGTGGAAGAGGCCGCCATGTACGTTCCTTCACACGATAGAGTGAGACGTAGTGGGACAGCCCAGCCGTGTGGACTTCTGGGAAGATGGCAAAGGAAGCAGCGGCACTAAAGGACCAATTCAGAGTTACTGGGATCTGGAGGACACCAAGAGAATATTTTTGTCTGAAGAAGAGTTTTTGTTTGATACAAGACTGGAAATTTCAATAAAATTCAAGACTTTTTGTGTACAATTGTAAATTTTTTTTTTTTGTTCCTTTTTTGAAAGAATGTTTGAACTTTTTTTTTGTGGACTTCGGCAGACAGTACTCGGTAAAGAACGTCTTTAAGACTTGAAGGACTTCTAAAATACTCATTGTGCCAAAAGCAAGGTACAGGTGTGTGGTGTGTTACTTATAACTGCCAGAAAATTAAAAATATATATATATATGTTGGGCAATTTTAGTTTTTTCTCTCAGGTTTAGAGCCATTCACCCTGTTTTTTTAGCCAGTCCAAGTTAGTGCGGAATGAGGGCCATCTGACAGCAGCTGAAGTAGCAGGTGGTGACTGAAATGAACTCCTGTGTGACAGAAGACAGTTGTGGTTTACGTCGGCCTTGCTTGGCGCCATCGGCAGTGTGATTACACCCGTCGCCGAGACCCCGCGCCCGCTCCAGTGAGTGACGGATCGTGACAGGGAGACTGATACAACGTCCTAGCGGGTCCGTCACAGCTCCAGCTCGGGCAGCGGGAGCACGAGAGTGACTTCACTGGGAAGCAGGGCGTGCCCTCAAGTTCAGAGGCGGGATCTCCGCACCCTTGGAGAGGGTGATTCCCTGCCTGCCCCCCCCGCTGACTCGCACGGTCGAGGAGAAGGCAGAGACACGGATGCGTGCACCCGACCGCCACGGAGCGAAGCAGCAGTGCTGAACCTGCCTCTGGAATAGGTGGCTTGGAATTTTGGTTCTGAAACTCTACGGAGATGCGGTGCAAAAAAAAAAAAAAAGAGAAATTTGGAGAAGTAGGAGTTCAGAAAGACGTATTACCACCCCAAATCTACTTTCATGCTAAATTCAGTGCTTGCAGTAGCCTTTTACGTGTTTGCTTACCTTTGAAATCGTGGGATTTCATGGAATTAAGGGATTGTCACTAGCCTCTCACTGCGTTTTTGGGTGGGGTGAGGAGCGGAAGCTTTTTCTAACGACCATATCCAGTTTTTACAGATGAGCTCCATTTTCACTTACGCTTTGGTCCCTTGACCCTACAAAAGTGCCGTGAAGGGCCCTTCGTCTAAGGCCCAGCTGTGACGTCCCTGTTGCATGTAATCTTCGCTGCGGACACCTCGTCTGCCTGCGCTCATGAAGCTTTCACACCCTGTTTCAGGTGTTTCTAAGGGATGATGATCCTTTACGCTGAGGTTGGTTTAGCTTCGTCCTGCCGGGCTCAGTTAAGCAGGCTTTCACTGGAAGGACGGAAGGCCCCCGTTACGTGTGGGAGCTCTGGGACAGCGTCTCACGGCTGGGGCGGTGATGAGCTTGCAGGGAGTCAACGGGCAGAACCCTGAGAGGGGCCGACCCCTGCGAAGTGACGGGGTGCAGCTGAGGGGGGTCGGTTCACAGCGGTGCGCGTTTTAACGCTGCTTTACACACGAACAAAGGTTTGGATTGGAAGCCAAACAATCTTCCGAACGGGGAAAGGAAGATATAATTTTGCTAATAACACAGTTGTAATGGCTAAAACGGGTGGAGCGCTCCCAGGTGTTAAAGCTGTTTTTTAACAGGCACCGCCAAAATGTGTTTAAAGCTGAGTAGCTACTTTAGACCCCGTGTTTAAGGTGGTTTTAATCTTTTTTGGCAACTTCACTGTGTTGGAAAGTAGCAAGGGATACGATCACTTGTTCTCTGCCAGGGAGCTGGAGACGAAAAGTGAAGAAAAGCGTCGAGCGTGGAATAAGCGTGTAAATATTCAGTACTGGTTCTTGAAAGCTTGGAACGCGTGGCCTGTGACAGTGTTTTCAGACTGGGAGGAAATAAAGGGGTTGGTTCCCATGTTTGATGTATGGAAACTCTGTAAATTTAGTCAAACCTGAAAAAAAAGTCGACATCCGTCATGGTTTGGTTTGATTTTTTTAAGGAAACGCGTTCAGTCTGTGACTCCTCAGCACCACGTGGTTCCTTTCTCGGATAAATTCAACTTGAAACAATGCTGTTTAAAACGTGGGAGTGAGTCGGTTTGCTCTTTTAACCAGGGCTCCCGCTGCGAGTAGGCCACGCTTTAAGCCCGGAGTTCTGCTTTGGGTACTCTGCCCAGGAATCACAGAATCACAGAAGGGTTTGGGTTGGAAGGGACCTTAAAGACCATCCAGTTCCAACCCCCCTGCCATGGGCAGGGACACCTTCCACTAGACCAGGTTGCTCAAAACCTCCTGCCTCAGCGAGGAACTCCAGCGGAATTCCCCCTTGCCCCTCCGGCACCTGGTTCAGAAGCGTGGCTCTCACTTCCAAGCCTTTTGGTGAAACTCGGCTAAACCCACTGGGAGCTCTCCCCAAAATTACTGTGCCCGCTCCACATCACGTAATCCGAGCGGCACCGGTCCGTGCTGGCCAAGACCACCGTGCGGGAGGACAGGGAATGCAGCTGGAATGCTGAAGGAAACAAGTGTTTTGTCTCACATTTGACCTCTCCGGGAGAAGTCAGTTTAAGGGAACAAGTTCGTGTGTACGTGTACCCAGCCCCTGGGGTCCTCAGAACCAACTCGTACATGCGGCCTTCCAGCACCTTCCAGTACCTGAAGGGGCTGCAAGGAAGCTGGGGGGGACTTTTTACAAGGGCCTGTAGTGACAGGACAAGGGGTAACGGGTTTAAATTGAAAGTGGGGAGGTTTAGATTGGATATCAGGAAGAAGCTCTTCACGGAGAAGGTGGTGAGGCAGGTGGAGGAGGTGGAACAGGTGGCCCAGAGAAGCTGTGGATGCCCCATCCCTGGAAGTGTTCCAGGCCAGTCTGAATGAGGCTTTGAGCAACCTGGTCTAGTGGAAGGTGTCCCTGCCCATGGCAGGGGGGTTGGAACTAGATGATCTTTAAGGTCCCTTCCAGCCCAAACCATTCTGTGATTCTATGGTGATTTTCTTTCAAACAGAAACTTACCACTTGCTTTAAAATATTAATTTCTTTAAACACATCCTTGTGTTACTCTTTCTTGCCCAGTTTAATGTAGGATAAGGATTTGCTCAACTCCTCCCTACACCTTCTGGTCTCACACACTTCACGTAACAGCTCGCTTTCCATGAGTTTTGCTTGTGAATCTCCGAGGTTTGGTACATTTTGTACCCACTAAATTGTGGATAAAAATTCAATCATCTCCTTTGAATGCGATGTTATTTGTCATGGCAGAAGCCGGCAGTTCACACTGCTAAACCCGCTGGTGGCGCAGGTTGGTGCAGCTGCATCAACTGCATCGGGCTCAGGGAGGACAGTCGGCTTGCACTTACTCCTCCTCCCCACTTCCCGGCTCCACAGTCCTGGTTCTCCCTCTTGTAGCTGCATAGTGCTATTAGAACCTACTAAAAATACAACAGTTTGCCCAGTTACTGGTCCACCTGAGTAACAGTTTCCTTGTGAGGAAATGGAACTGATTGAACTCTTGGTATGAGAATGGGACTGGGAATTCAGCGCTGGAGCCCTCCCCTAATGCACTTTCATAGAATCACAGAATGGTTTGGGTTGGAAGGGACCTTAAAGACCATCTAGTTCCAACCCCCCTGCCATGGGCAGGGACACCTTCCACTAGACCAGGTTGCTCAAAGCCTCATCCAGCCTGGCCTTGAACACTTCCAGGGATGGGGCATCCACAACATCTCTGGGCAACCTGTTCCAGTGCCTCACCACTCACTCCGCGAAGAACTTCCTGATATCCAATCTAAACTTCCCCACTTTCAATTTAAACCCGTTCCCCCTTGTCCTGTCCCTACAGGCCCTTGTAAAAAGTCCCCCCCAGCTTCCTTGTAGCCCCTTCAGGTACTGGAAGGTGCTATAAGGTCTCCCCGGAGCCTTCTCTTCTCCAGGCTGAACAAGCCCAACTCTCTCAGCCTGTCCCCATAGCAGAGGTGCTCCAGCCCTCCGAGCATCTTCGTGGCCTCCTCTGGACTTGCTCCAACTGGTCTATATCCTCCTGATGTCGGGGGCTCCACAGCTGGATGCAGCACTCCAGGTGAGGTCTCACGAGAGCAGAGCACAGTATGCACTTTCAGCAGCGTCTCCCATACAATGCTAAAATGATCATGACTAGGGGAAGAGCATTTCCAAGTCAATGTCTTCATTTACACCAAATCTACTACAATATTTGGACCCTTAGTTTTCATAAAAAGGATTAACAGACTATTTGAAAGAAAGAAAAGCACCCTTACTGCTTCCAGCAGCTATGAAGAGCTGTGTAATACATGAGAGTACAAAAGCTAAAATTGGGAAAATAGGAACATAACGGGCTATTGAATTTCAGCCTAGTTTCTTCGAAGACAGACAAAACGATGGCCGTACTTCAGCACACGCCGCCCTGTGAGCGGCTCATTAGCCAAGGAACATCGCACACGCGGGACGGTTATCAACGCGTGGGAAGGGGATTAAGCGCCAAGCCCCCGGAGGGATCCGATGCCGCCAGCTGCTGCATGGGGATGTCTGACACGGGCACAGGTGCTGCCTTGCTGCCGAAGGAATCCCAAGCTGACGGGTCATTCCAGCAGCAGGCGGGCCCAGGGCGCTGCCACATTCCAGCACCCAGCATTGAGACTCGTGAGAGCTGGCAACTGGAAGCCACACAGACGGCTTCTGGTTGCAGCAGGAAGTCCTTCCTTAGCACCTGGGACATGTTTTCTCACACAGCTGTCACTCAGGGGACAGACAGCAGGCCAGATGCAAAGTAAATCCTGAATAAACCCTATTTCCCCCACTAGAAGGAATTCAGTCATAACTACGTGGTGGGAATTCCCAGAAGGAAACACAGAGATCCCATTATGGAGACCACGGGGCAAACAGACTGCTTTTTACTGCGGTCAGCACAGAAGAGTGGGTGACCACGACTGCCCTCCAGCTTGGGAAGGATGGTCCCGCTCATCCGAGTTCCGTAGGATTAGGAAGTGATTTTCTTCCTTCACCTTACGCAAAGTAGATCAAGTCGCATCGCAGAACCACACGGTTACAGCACGCAGAAACGCCCCGGCTGACTCACAGCATGAAATCTGGCGTTGCCAAGAACC